CGCGTCTCTAGCAGCTAGGAGCTGGTGTTGTTCAACGTTGTGAGCGGGCGGAGGGTGCACTACATGACACATCAATACCAAAGGAGAAAAAAGTTTTGCAGGGGATTTTTGGTTTTGGAGGGGCGGACGAGTCGCGAGTCGAGTTTAGACGCTGTCGCGGGGCGGGTTGCCGGAATGGTGGCACTGAGGCCCGAGGGGTGCGGGAGGCGCACGGCGGGGGCCGGCCTCGGGGTGAGGGTGAGGTCGGCCGCCGCCACCGGGGGTCGCCGCGCCGTAGAGCGGCCCGCCGGTCTCCCTGCTGGCGGTGCGCGCGGCCGCGCTCAAAGGCGCTGATTGCTCGGCCGCGCGGGGCCAGGTGACTCGCCCGCTGGAAGGGTGGTGCACGGGGTTTGCGGCGGGGTCCCCAACGTCCCCGGCGGCGGCCCGCTGGCGGGCCGCCGCCGCCGCCAGTGCGGCGGCGATGACGGAGAGCTCGTGGTGCTCGGTGTCGCTCTCCATCTCGTCGAAGAGGTCGCTTGCCCTCTGCTCGAGGGCTCGCGCCCATGCCTTGTCCCGCAGTGCTCGGACCTGCGCGCGGGTGCGCTCGAACTCCGCTGGCATCTCTGCGAGCTCGGTGTGGTCCGCCCGCCTCTCGGGCCTGTGGGACGTGCCGTCCAGGGCGACGTAGCGATCTCCCTTGTCTGAGGGAAGACCACCATCCGTGTCTGCTCCCTCCCCCACGGCCCGCTGCGGTGGGGTCGGTGCGCCACGCCGTGCGGCGTACTTGTACGTGTCGTGCAGCGCCGGGGGCTTGCGCGTGCGGAGGGCACGCGCCCCGGGCGCGGCGCCCGCCTGGACGCCGCCGCCCAAGGCAGCTGGCGTCAGGAACGCTCGGCTCTGCAGTCGCGACCGCTCCTCTTTGGGGGCAGCCTCGCCGGGTGCGTCGTGCGCCTTGTCGCCCGGCGGCGGCGCAAAGTGCCCCCGTGCGTCGTGGTACCACTGCCTGTCGTGGCCTCGTGGCCCGTGGCGGTGATCGTGGCCCGCGCCGAGGGCCCCCTTGGCGCCGGGTGCCACGTGCATGTTCACAGGAGCGTGCGCTCCTGCAGTGCGGGTTCCAGCTTGGCCCGCGACGCTCGCGTTGTCGTCACGATCCGGTGCCTCGGGGGCCCCTGCCCTCGGCGGGTCGTCCGACCCCATGGTCGTATGGTTTGCCTCGGCGTCTCCCGCCGGTGCGTTCTCTAGCGACAGAGGCGAAACGACACTCGGCCCGCCGACACAATTCGGCCACTGGACACCATAACTAAATGCGGCGCAGGCCAATCTCAAGTTCCCTTCTCAATTCTTCGCGGGTTTTGGTGCAGTCACCTTCCCCCGCGACAGACGCGTTAGACGTTACGGTTCTGCACAATCTACCCCTTTACCGCAGCAGAGCACGAGCACGGTCGAGCACCGTGGACGTGCACACACCTCACACGGGTGTTCACACGAATCCCGCCATTCCCACGCTCACGATAGGCAAAGGCTTAACCCACACAATTGTATTGGCTATTGCGTATTGGAACGTACACTGCACAATCGGTGTGGAGGGGAAGAGCAAGAGGCGAGCGGCGTTTTGAAAAACAGGAAAAGAAAACAAGCTCGAGCAGAAAACAGTCACAGACCACACCACACACTATCAACGGGGGCCAAGGATTGGGCGCGGGGAAGCAAAAACCAACAACTTTTTCAGTCCGAGCCAGTCCGCTGTGAGAGGGGCTAATAGTAAAATTCTTCCAGCGATCAAAACTCGTTTTTATGGCGGAGCGGGCCTGCAGCACCGTGTCCGTCTCCTCGTCCGGCGCGGCCTGGGTCGCAGACGTGCAGGACTGCTCTCCCGTAGCCACTTCCTACCGCCCGCCCGTCGTCTGCATCGCCGGCCTCCTCGAGCCTGCGCCGGGCCTCTGCGAGCTTTTTCTGCCGGTGCTAGCCGCAAAGCTCGACCGACGCGTCATCTTCCTGTCGCGCCGCACAAAGCCATGGCTTCGGAGCGTCACCGAGGCAGCCTACGACCTCT